CCTCCCCAGACATGCGACGTCCTGACTTTTTCAGGACGGCGTCCCTGGAAGCCCCGACCCTTTCCCCGGGACCGGTTTTTCGTCCCGAGTCGTTTCTTGACGGTCCCGGGGCCGGGCGGAGGCCCCACGGAGCCGAAAGTAGCCAAAAACCTCCCGTCCTGATTTTTCAACGACGCGATCAGGTCTGGGCCCCTCGGGCCCCTCGGGGACCACCGGTAGGCCGCCTCGGGGCCGCCTATAGGGCCGCCTCGGGGGCCCCTCTTCGAACAGGCCGGAGGCCCTCCGGGACCCCCAGAGGCCCCAGGGGCCGACCTCGTGGACACTCCAAACGGAAGGGGCCTTAAGGACACACAGTTGAAGACACAGAAATCACAGGAGTCCCCATATTTCCCTATCTTTTCCGGGTTGTTGTCTCCCCCCCCACTTCCCTTATTTTTTGCACACTTTCCTGGGGATCGGCGATTAACTGTGTCTGTGTTTTTTCCCCTCCTGGCACATGTTCAGGTGCGCCTCTGTTGGGCCAGACCAGCCAGAGGGGGTCTCCGATCCCAGACCCCCGACGCCGTGGCGTTCCGCGGCGTGGACCCACCAGGAAGGTCTGGACCCCTGCAGGACGGGAAGTGGTGCCACGAAGCTGCCCACCTAAGATCCACCACCGGGACGTGAGCTGGGCTCCCACTGGCTGGCGTCGGCAGGGGGCAGTCCGGACCCGCACCGTTCGAAGCGAGGCGTGGGGGAGGCCAGAGAGAGCGCGCGGGGGTCCACACGGCTCATGCTCGTCCCTCCACACTCGGGGAGACGCAAGGCCAGGTTCGTCGATCTGGGTTTGCCTGACCCAGAGATCCAACGTATTGAAAAAATCAAGACGGAGGTTTTCCTTATCTTTCGGCCTCGAGGGGCCCTCGCCGGGCCCCAGGACCGTCAGAAAACGATTCAGGGTGAGAAACTGGTCCCGGGGAATGGCTCGAGACTCCTGGGGACGCCGTGTTGAGAAATCACAACGTCGGATCTCTGGGGGCGGGGCCGCCAGAGAAAAGGGCGAGGCCCCATCTGCCGCGAGCTCCCGCCGCAAACCTCTCACGGCGACGGTCGGGCGCGGCCGAGCCGACCCCTGGCGAGCCATCCCCCCCTCCGTGCCGTCCTCCTCGCCTTCCGAGCCCCCCCTCGGCCACATACAGTCGGGGTCTTGACCTCAGGAACCCTGAATAAGGAACGAGGCCCCTTTTTTCCCATAAGTTAAACTTCGATTTCCGATCGAAGACATAAGAAGGAAAATGAGACCAGAGAAAAACCCCAATCAGAATTGTTTGGGGGGCTATGGGGCTTTAGGGCTATAGGGGCTATAGGGCTATAGGGCGATGTGGCCATAGGGATATAGGGCTAGAAGCCTTTAGGGCTATGGGGCTATAGGGCTACAGGGCTACAGGGCTATAGGGCTATAAAACCATTCGGGCTATAGGGCTATATACGGCTATAGGGTTTAGGACCATAGGGCTATATGGCTATAGGGCTATAGGGCTATAGGGCTATAGGGCTATGGGGCTATGGGGCTATGGGGCTATTGGGCTATTGGGCTATAGGGCTATCGGAAGTGAGGGGGTGAGATCGAAGTGGAACGGCGAGCCCCCCACCGGGAAATCGGTTTCGGTTTCGTGTTCGTGCGTGCCGTGCGTGCGAGGCGAAGCTGCGTGGGCGGGCGAGAAAAAGTCTCCTGTGGCTGAGGCGCGGCCGGACCAAATGTTTCTCTTCCGGGGCGCGGGGCCCCGCGGTGTCCCGCCGGTGTCCCGCGGTGTCCTCCTGGTGGCTGAGGCGCGGCCGGACCAAATGTTTCTCATCCGGGGCGCGGGGCCCCGCGGTGTCCCGCCGGTGTCCCGCGGTGTCCCGCGGTGTCCCGCGGTGTCCCGCGGTGTCCCGCCGCTGTCCCGCGGTGTCCCGCGAGGATGATGATGAGGATGATGATGATGATGATGATGATGATGATGATGATGATGATAATGATGATGATGACGATGACGATGATGATGATGATGATGATGATGATGATGATGATGATGATGATGATGATGATATGATGATGATGGTGTCCCGATGAAGATGATGCTGTTGATGATGGTGTCGATGATGATGATGATGATGATGATAGTGTCCCGATGATGAGGATGATGATGCTCATGATGATTATGTTGATGATGATGACGATGATGGTGTCCCGATGATGATGATGATGATGATTCCGATGATGTTGGTGATGATGATGTTGATGGAAATGGTGTCCCGGCGATAATGATGTTGATGATGATGATGATGTTGATGATGATTATGGTGTCCCGATGATGATGCTGATGATGATGGTGATGATGATGATGGTGATGCTGATGGTGTCCCGATGATGATAATAATGATAATGACGATGTTGATGATGATGTTGCTGATGATGATGATGGTGCCCCAATGATGATGATGATGTTGTTGATGATGATGATGATGATGTCGATGATGATGATGATGATGCGATGATCATAATGATGATGGTGTCCCGAGGAAGATGACGATGTTGATGATAATGTTGATGATGGGAACGATGGTGATCATGATGGTGTCCCGATTATGATGATGATTCTGATGATGCTGCTGATGATGATGACGATGACTTTGTCCCGATGATGAGATGATGATGATGATGATGCTGATGATGAGATGATGATGGTGATGATGATGGTGATGTTGTCACGATGATGATGATGACGTTGATGATGATGTTTATGATGATGATGACGGTGCCCTCATGATGATGACGATGTTGGTGATGATGTTGATGTTGATGATGTTGATGTTGATGATGACGTTGATTTTGAGAGCGATTGTAATATCGTTAGTGAGATCGATATTGAGACCAAATGTGAGATCGATTGTGTGATCGATTGTGAGATCGATTGTGAGATCAATTGTGAGATCGATCGAATGAGATAGGTCGAGTGAGATCGATTGTGAGATCGATCGAGTGAGATCGATCGAGCGAGACCGATTGTGAGATCGATACTGAGATCGATAGTGAGAACGATCGAGAGAGACGTTGGTTCCCCCCCCCGAACCTCCTTATCACCCGAAGGGTGGTCGTATAGGTACGGCTATAGGGCTAGAGGGTTATAGTGCTATAGGGATATATGGCGATTGGGCTATTGGGCTATAGGGATATAGGGCTATTGGGCTAGGCACCCCCGGGCACTTCTGGGCATCCCGGGCACCCCTGGGCCCCCGGGCACCTCCGGGCACCCCCGGGCACCCGGGCACCCGGCCCCGGCCACCGAAATCGGCCACACACCTGGGCACCCGGGCACCCCCGGGAACCCCCGGGCACCCGGGCACCCGGCCCCGGCCACCGAAATCGGCCGCTCACCTCACCTCAGCTTTATATCCGCTAGGACCCCTACAGAGGCAAGCTCTGATTGGGGAACCTGAGGCAAGCTGAGAAACACTTAATGAACGCGGAGCCCCTCCCCAACGAAAAGGGTTCCTTCTTCAGGGCCCCGACTGTACAGCACAGAAAGGGATGATTTGCTAGGGGTCGATTAGGCCGCCCCTGAGACTTGACCGTGCAACTCCTGGACGGGCCCGCCAAAAAGAGTCGGCGAACCCGAGTTCCAGCGAATCCGATTCTTACCCAGATCTCCGACGAGACCCGTCGGTCGGAGGACGTGGGCAGAAACATGAAATAGGGACGCGTCGGAAGTAGATTGGGCTTCCGCCCGCCCTCTGAAGAGGAGGGGAGAGGGACAATCACTCAAGGATTGAAATAGGAAGGCGCCTAGAGTAATGGCGACGCGGGCATCCAAAAATACCTTCTTTCAACGACGGGCGTGCATGTGTTTCTCCAATCTGGGCGTTTTTCCTAGATGTTGGCCTCTGGGGTGCATGATCGGGCCTGGGGCAGTCACAACTGAAGGGGCTCTGGAACACACAAACAAATACACACAAATACACATATTCCCCACATCTTCCCATATTTTCTGGGTTTCTGTCTTCCCCCCACTGCCCATGTGTTCCCGTTTTTTCCTGGGCAGTCGACGATGAATTGTGTCTGTGTGCTTCTTCCCCTCCTGAACAACACGGATCCGGGGCGGGCGCAAAGGTATACTGCGAGAGCAGGGGGGCGGGACCCCTGGGGCCGCGGTGCTCGGGAGGACAGGGGCCAGGACCTCCTGCGGCTCGGAGGGCGTCTGAGACGGGCCCGGACGTGCTCACCAGAACGGAGAGTCTGCTCAGGAGGGTCCTGAGCAGACCCTCTTGGTTCTGGCGAGCGTGCACGTCCCACATGCAGTCATATGCATCTACAGATCGACTCTCGAGCCCAGACCCCCGACGTCATGATCTTTCAAGACCTCGACCCCCAGAGGTCTCGACCCCTTCCCCGGGACCCGCTTCTCGTCCCGAGTCCTTCTCGTTGACGGCCCCGAGGCCCGGCCAAGGCCCCGGAGGCCGACGGTAGCGACCCCCCCCCCCGCCGCGATCTCTTCGCGACGCGAGGGGGCCTCGGTGCGTCACCGACAGAGACCCAGTCGTGCGACGTCCTGATTTTCTGAGGACACCGTCCCCGGAAGCCCCAGCCTTTTCCCCGGGACCGGTATATTTCATCCCGTGTGGATTTTGTTGGCGGCCCCGCGGCCTGGCCGCAGGCCTCCATGGGAGCCCCGAAGATGGTGAAACGCCCCCGTCCTGAAGCTTTTTTTCTGCGACGGGACTTTGCAAAAAACCTGCGACGGTTTTTTGCAATCCTGCGACAGGTTTTTTGCAATCCTGAAGCTTTTTTTCTGCGACGGGTTTTTTGCAATCCTGCGAAGGTTTTTTGCAGTCTTTCATCCTGAGTGGCTCTTTGGCGGCCCCGAGGCCCGGCGCAGGCCTCCAGGAGCCCGGGGAAACGGCGAGATGCCCCCGTCCCGAAGCTTCTTGCTTTTTTGCGACGCGAGCACGTCTTCTGGGAAGCAGGGGCGCGCAGCCGGCGCCTCCGCGGCCGGCGTGGCCCAGTGGGCGGGCACCTCCGGCTTCGGGGCGCTGGCAGCCTCCCCGCCACCCTGCTTTACCAGCCTGGAACAGATCCCTGTCCCTGTGCTGGGCAGCTCCTCATCACGATGCCACTCTTAGGCATTCCATTATTTCTGGAGGGCGAACCCCTGAGATTGTCATCGCCTTTGGGCGTGGCAATCTTAGGGATAGGGACAAGTTCGAGGCTGGTAACCTGCGGCGCCTGCGGCTCGCCTCCCGCGGCCTCGGCACGATTGGAGGAGGAGAAGGGGGAAAAGGAGGATGTCGAGATAGGTGGAGGAGGAGGAGGAGGAGGAGGAGGAGGAGGAGGAGGAGGAGGGCCAGGAGGAGGAGGAGGATGAGGAGGATGAGGAGGAGGAGGAGAAAGGAGGAGCCGATGCCACCCTGCGGCGCCTGCGGCTCGCCTCCCGCGGCCTCGGCACGCTTCGGGGACCGGCTGCGCTCCCGGGCCTGGCCGGCTTGCACGCGCGGGTGAGGGCGGGAGAGCGAGGAGCGGCCACAGCATGCAGCACCGGGGGCGAAGCCAGGGGCGAAGAGCTGCGAGAAGGCCAAAGGGGCCTCCCTGGCGTTAAAGTCGGGCCTGTCCCCTGTACAAGGGAATGTTGGACGAACAGTTTACAAAAATAGTCAAAAAATACCCTAAAATGCCCAAGCATGGTCAAACAATCCTCCCCAGACTATTGTTTGACCATTTCTGGATCTTCCTCCTGAGGAGGGACAGGCCCGACTGAACCCTGGCAGTGTGGCCCTCCCTCTCGCTCGAGACATCCCCGGCCTCCAGCTCGGGGAGGTATCCTGGACCTCCTGGCTGGAGGTGGCCGCCCCTGGTGGTGTTGCTGTCGCTCCGCCTCCCTCCGAGGGGGGGCAGGAAGAATTGGCAGCGAACTGGGAGAGCGGATCGGATCGGAAAGGTATGCCGAATCGGCTCGGAGCCGGAAGCGACTCGGTTCGGCGGCGCCAGGATGCACCACGGCGCCATGCGAGCCTCGGGCCGCGCCGGGCCGACCGAGAGTCGGAGTCAAGAATCGCATCGGGCCGCCCAGAGCCGACATACCGACTCGGATCGATCGGATCGGCATGGTCCCTGGGGGGGGGGGGGGGGTGGACGCCCAGCCC